TTCGAGGTCCACAACTCATGGAGAGGCACACAAACTGGGATTTAGCCCTTGCAAGGTAAGTTTTCTTATAAAAAAAGTGAAGTAAAAACCCTAAAGTTGCACAACTTGTTTATAGGCCAAAGAAAAGCCACTATTAGCTCCACTGCAAAAGAAAAATCGCTTAGATGGGCTAAAGAACATAGACAATGGACACCTCAACAATGGTGTGCAATACAATGGAGTGATGAGGCCCGATTCGAAGTTGTGTTGGTGACAGTCGCAGTAGAGTTATTCGCAAAAAAAAATGAAGCATTCCATGTTGACTGTCTGAAGAGAAAAGTGAAATTTCCAGCATCCATTATGATCTGGGGCAGTATGTCATCAAAAGAAGTAGGAAGGGACTCGTAGTACTGCTTTAGTTTTGTTTACCTTAGTCTTGATAATATGATAGAGACTGATTATTACATATGTAGTTTTTTTCCCTTTAATAATAAAGTGCTATTCTTTATATTATTACTAATAGTAATTGATAAAGACTGAGTTTGTTCTTTTCTTGGAGATTCAGTACTATCTTACCTCCCAACCTCTCATATCATACTTCTCAGTTGGAAGTTTCAGTTTCGGCCGAAACTAAAATTGGACCGAAATTACGGTTTCGGCAGAAATACTCGTTTCGGTCGGACACTATCGACTAGTATTCGCCTTAAAACTGGAATAATATACATAAAAGCTATTATACGAGTACTATGAACAGCACGATCTTTGGACCGGCCAAATTTCTATGGATCTAAAGACTGAGATTTTTTGATAACAGCAAACAACGAAACACAATCTTGTTCAGCAAAGGAGGCAGGAACGTGGAATGTGAACAATCGAACAATCGCTTGTCCTGGCCGCAATTCTACCAGAGGGGAAAAACCGGTAGCACGTGCAGCAAGAACTCCGAGGAGGAGCAACGTAGACGCAAAGATACTTTCGGATGCGGTTCAGGAACGACCTCAGGACTAGATAGGTTGGCGCCAGACGAGGCTAGGGCTATTCAAAGGGCTAATCAGATTGTAATGTATGTGTGATTGTGCCGTTTTACGTAAGGGATCAGGTGGTGGGCGGTGTTGGTTATCTCAACAAAATCTTAAAAATACGGATGGTTTATTGGCGTGGAATACTTCAGAAGGATACTAGGTCTACGATCGAGCAAAAGAAAAGCAGAGTTTTTGTTAATCTCCTATGTCTCTTCCGCTACCTTGGAGGACCCGGCAACAGTTACTTTCAAATTTGCTGTATCACCTCATTGTATGGTAAAATATGCTAGATTCAATTTTGTTTCTATTTTGTACGATCTTATGTGTTTGAAATTTATCATTATTGTTCAGAGACACTCAAAGTCTTATAAGGTTTGGAACTGCCTATGAATTTAAAAGTAAAACGTTCATATAGTGGCGTGTGAGGACAGAGAACCTCGTAAAACGTCTTATTGCCCAATTATGAGTGTATCAATTATTTTTATGGATTTTGGAGAGAATTATAATAGATTAGATGGTAAATCACTCGTTGATGGCGAGGGGAATCATATGTATCATATGTAGATATGGTTGATTGGCGATGGTGGTGGTTATAGTGGTGACATTCTTTATCTCTTCTATATTACCTTGAGAACAGTGTTCACGTTTATTGTACATTCGGAGTAAAGTTATTACACAGTATATTTATAGCTACTTCATGCATGCTTAAACATTATTTCGCACCTGTGTACTCGACTTAGCGCACTGTACTCGTAGCGAGTAATCGTAATAATATGTACATATAACGTAAACATATACTCCAGGACAAGTAGTACTATGCTAAAAATTGACAGCTTTTACTTTTTTGTTTGGTTGTGCATTTAACATTGTAGTAGGTAACCCACGATGCTAAATGGGTATTTTCTTGGGCTGTGTAGGGACCTACGAGGTCTGTAAATTAAGTAACGTGCTGTCAAAGTAGCGTTCGATCTGGCAACACTGGAGGCGCCGGGCTTGGAACGAAGACAGAGGAACATGTGATCCGCATTCAGTACAACTTTGAACTTTCATCTTCAAGAACCGATGAAAATATCAACAGAATCCGGAATCTTGTGCGTTCAGGTCGACGGATGACAATCAGAATGATCGGGAAAGAGTTAAATTTGACTCACACCACCTTTCTTCTGATCAAGAACACCCATAAACAAGTTTTTGGCCAGTAAAAACATTCCTGTGGCCCCTCATCCTCCATAGTCGCCTGACTTGAGTCCTTGTGACTTTTTCCTCTTCCCGAACTTATAATCACTCATCAATCAGACCTCGTATTAGTTTTTGAAAATGTAGAAAGAAAAAAGGTTTTATAATTTATATACTTTAACTGGCGCGCGGGAGCGTCTATAGGTTTTCAAAAATCCGAAAAAATGATCATGTGAAAATACTCAACGCATCAGAAATGTGAAAGTTGATGTTTTTTGCAAGTTAGCGACCCTTAATAAGAATAATGAAGGTTCTTATTGAAGCACATCAGAGAGGCGAAGTTTAGCTACAGGACTCTTACACTTAACCCCACTGTGTGAAAGAGAAACAAACAAAAAATTAGTTATACACAAAAAACAAGAAAAAGATATAAATAGAAATTACAAGAAAAATCCTATACATTATTATATATAAAAATAATTATAATCATATAATAATAATTATAATATAATAATAATGCCTATGTCCTCTGCCGTGAGGTGAAGTTAGAGCATCTGGCTACTGCTACACTTAACTCCAAATCAGGAAATAGGGGAAAAATACACATGTTAAAAAAAGCTTTTGAGTAAGTAATTCATCAGATTATTAATATGCACACTTTCCGGCATTTAGTTAACCCACGTCACTTTAATCTGACGCCGTCGAGTATTTCTAAGGACATTTTTTTATTATTCTGATCGGCTGCTCTACACGCCCTTTACATAAAGAGCTTATGTTTGGTGGAGGTATCCCTTAAAAGCGCAACTTTGTGCCCTTATAGCCGACTCCTTTTCTCTAACCGTTTCCGAGAGCCCAATACAGTCGAATTTGAAACATCCGGTACAGTATCTTAGGGGAATATCTCAACACAACGTTCTTTACAGAATATTCGTGTTTTGTCCCCAAGCAGTAACTCCAGTCGCGAAGAGATTTATAACACCCTGTATCTTTTTATATTATTTTTGGACTACTTTCTGTATTAGAAATATTGTCAGTGTCTCACCCTGCATAAGTCACTCAAAACTTGTAAATTATACATCGACAAAGAACCCAACATCAATTGATATGAGTTTCTTGATGCATATCAGTATCACAAACCACTGCAAATATCTTGCTTCATCTTCATACCTCCATCTTTTATATTTGAATTTTGCTTTATAATATTAACCGCAAAATAGTATTAATTTCCATATAGTTTTATTATGGTATGATAACGCAATTACCTCATAAGGATGGTAATATTTTTTTATAGTCTGGCTTTTATGGGTTCGGCAGAAATTTCAGTGAATTCGTGAACGAATAATGTGATTTGAGTTAATAAGCTTTTGTCCATATTTGTGTAATTCTTGGTTATTTTTGTGTTTCTTTTTGGATCATGTTTTTAGCAAAAAGCGTATTTATGATTCCCAAGTCCATCAGGCTTTAGATTATATATGATTTAGTTTCCGATGTATAGCATTATTTAAACAATATTTAGTATGAGACAAGAAGTCGCTATGCAAAGTAACTCAAAACTATTTGGGCACCATTATCAAAATAATTGGTATTGATCACTTTTGAAAATTACACTCAACATAGATGCCCATTACTGGGGAAGTTTTACCAATAAATGTAGAAATTTAGTTATTTAAATTGAGAGGCACAAGTACGAATTTGATAGCTACTAGACTTATGGTACCCATTCACGTACAGGCGGACTGCAGGCAATGGACTGAAATTTGACCTGCAGTCGTGGCCTGCGATATAGACCATACACGTTCAGTTGTATACAAACGATGCGGCCTGCAGGCCATCGCCTGACAGTCCTAGAACTGCAGGTCGCCTCATTATTTGCCATACATCCACAGTCCGTCGCAAAAGTTTCGCAGTTCTTGCTTGTAGTGTGTAGACAAAAGAACAATAAAGCAGTGGTAAAATGTTAAGAAAAAAGAAACTTATTTTGTTACTTTTGATTTTGCTATTAACTAATGAACGCGGAAAAAATGGCAAACGTTTTTGGGTGAAGGAATGGTTAAGAGATCGTGAAAATTTATCTCATATGAAACTCCTGAAGCGATTGAAAGATTCCAGCAGCGAAGATTTTAAAAATTATCTTAGGATGGACGAGGCTTCTTTCAGAAAATTATTAACTTTAGTTAAACCCCACATAAAACGACAGAATACAGTAATGAGAAAAGCCATTAGTGCTGAAGAAAGGTTAATAGTGACTTTGCGGTATCTGGCAACTGGACGTACATTTGAGGATTTGAAATTTTCTGCCATTATTTCTCCCCAAGCACTAGGAAAAATTATACCAGAAACCTGCGAATGGATTTACAAGGCGTTGAAAAAGGAATATATGAAGGTAAGTTCATAAAATTTTGGAATACAGTGCATAATATTTTAGAAAGAAATGGAATAGTTGAAGGAGATTGAAAGCCAAAATTTTTAGAAGCGTACATTTATAAAAGTACCTAGGTATTTATTTTTTAACCTAAATACCTCGCTAATATTCTTATTAAAAATTATGTATTTTATGCTTGCATTCCAAAATTTTCGCTTTTGTCGTAATTTGAAGTAATTTTTTATGTTTTAGTAAAATTTCAAAATAATATTTCAACTACGTATTTTATTGAAAAATGTATCCTTACATAAAAACTTAAAGGTGAACAACTTGTGTTATAGAAACGAATTTTAAATAAACTTTTGATTTCTATTGTCAAAAACATAGACAATAGGTAATAATGAACAAGTCGACAAGTAAAAACAAAACTTTAAGTATGTAGTCATTGAAGTTTCGTAAATTCATCGATTAAAAACCAGCAATTCAGTTAAAGATCCTTTAAGTTTCGACGTGTTGCCGCTTTCCTCCATTGTTTCAGGGGTAGTTTTATCAAGAGGTCTTATATAGTTTATATTTATGTCGAGGTTTTCTCCTTCTGCATTTGTGTACTGTGTTTCAGAAATAGTTGCTGAGGGTCGGGAAAGAGTGACATTTTGTTGCTGATTGTAAGTTGATGTGTGTTGCGAAGAAGTGAAAGTTTGTTGTTGCTGATTTGTTAATATGGGTTGGAAAGGAGAAGGAGTTAAAGGTTGTGGCTGTTGATTGTATTGAAGTTGCATTGGCAACATAGTATTATAATGAGATGAAACGCTATGTGCCGAATTTATACATATATGAGATTCCTCGCATAATTTCTTTTGAACACCAAGGAAGAGAAGACGGTGAAGTAATAATTCAGCATACATTTTCTGGTCGCTGTCCATTCGGCGCAGTTTATGGGCCACATTTTCTCCAATACTGTCACATTCATCATTTTCTCTGTCCAACTTAGCGCAAATCCTTTGGATACTTTCTTCCTGTCCATACTTCTTTCTTTTTGCACTATTAGAAGATCTGGAAGTTGATGGACGTGAATAGGTTGATGACTGATGCGGTGTTTGTGGTGGTGATAGCTGATATATTTCAGACGGTGCTTGCAACGCATCTTCAGTAAGCGGTGAAAATTGAGTATCATGCTGGGTGACATCTTCCTGAAAGTACAAAATACAAAATGTATATTATAATTTTTTTTACAGTTTCCAAAAACATCAGAGGAGTGGCAAGAAATAGCTTATAATATTGAAACCAGATGGAACTTTCCTAATTGTGGAGGATCTATTGATGGTAAACATCTGCGAATTGTTAAACCAGCCAACAGCGGGTCATATTTTTTTAACTACAAAGACTATCACAGTATAGTTCTCATGGCCCTTGTTAATGCTGATTACGAATTCATATATGTTAATGTAGGCTGTAATGGGCGAGTTTCTGATGGAGGGGTCTTAGAATATACAAAATTTTACGATAAACTTATAGAAAAAAAGCTAAATTTGCCTTCTAATGACGTAACAAAGCATAATTTAAATTTCGTTTTTGTGGCAGATGATGCGTTTGCATTACATGAAAATATTTTAAAACCTTTCCCGGGAAACAATTTAACAAAAGAAGAATCTATTTTCAATTATAGACTTAGCCGTGTGCGCCGCACGGTTGAGAACGCGTTCGGTATATTAGCTAATCGCTTTCGAGTATTCCATACTCCAATTAATATGCAACCTGACAAAATTGACAAAATTGTACTAGCAGCTTGCGCGTTGCATAATTTTTTGAGACGTTCTAAAACTTCATATATAACGAGAAATGATGTTGACACCGAAATTATTGACACAGGGGATATAATAAGGGGAGACTGGAGAGCAGAAAGACCATTAGATAATTTACAACCAGGATATGGTCGTAATGCTTCACGTGAAGCCAAAGAAAATAGAGTGAATTATAAAAATTTCTTTAATACTGTTGGAAAAGTTTCCTGGCAAGAAAATTTTATTTAATCAATGTACCTATTATAATATGTATCTTACTTGATAATTTTGTAGAATTAAAGAATTTATTTTAGACAAGAAATAAAAAGATTTTATTTGATTTTTTTATTTGCAAAAAATTTCCTTACCTCATTATTGGCATCGTCACCCTCCGACTCCGACTCATCATCATTTGAAACTGACATCCTAGGTTCTTCCTGCGAAGCCGTAAAAAGCAGTAATTTATAATACCAAAGAGTTGGCTCATACAGCTCTTCTGTAGATGATCCACTTCTTTTTGATTTTAGAACTTTTTTGTGCTCCTTTCGAAAGGCACTTCTAATATTATTAATTTTCTTTTTTACCATATCCATCGAAGCATTTTTGTCTACGGTTTTGCAATAACTTATAAGTTTCTCATACGCCTTTGCCTTTTCTTTTCGATTTGAATACTGTTTTGACTTAATATTCCATAAACTTGGTAACTGTCGATAAATATCAATAAAACCAGTAACAAACGATGGCTGATTTAACGTCACATCAGACATTTTTTACCAAAACTGTGTACACAATTTTTAAATACAATGAAAGTCGCTATCGTACGACCCGGACTGACGATTAACCACCACACACGTACACACTTTGTGCAATCTTTGTAAACTGCAGGCACAGACCTGCCGGCCACCTGTACGTGTATGCTGAAATTTGGACTGACGGCCAGATCGTTCACAGTTCGGGACTGCAGTCCGCCTGTACGTGAATGGGTACCATATGGTACCCATTCACGTACAGGCGGACTGCAGGCAATGGACTGAAATTTGACCTGCAGTCGTGGCCTGCGATATAGACCATACACGTTCAGTTGTATACAAACGATGCGGCCTGCAGGCCATCGCCTGACAGTCCTAGAACTGCAGGTCGCCTCATTATTTGCCATACATCCACAGTCCGTCGCAAAAGTTTCGCAGTTCTTGCTTGTAGTGTGTAGACAAAAGAACAATAAAGCAGTGGTAAAATGTTAAGAAAAAAGAAACTTATTTTGTTACTTTTGATTTTGCTATTAACTAATGAACGCGGAAAAAATGGCAAACGTTTTTGGGTGAAGGAATGGTTAAGAGATCGTGAAAATTTATCTCATATGAAACTCCTGAAGCGATTGAAAGATTCCAGCAGCGAAGATTTTAAAAATTATCTTAGGATGGACGAGGCTTCTTTCAGAAAATTATTAACTTTAGTTAAACCCCACATAAAACGACAGAATACAGTAATGAGAAAAGCCATTAGTGCTGAAGAAAGGTTAATAGTGACTTTGCGGTATCTGGCAACTGGACGTACATTTGAGGATTTGAAATTTTCTGCCATTATTTCTCCCCAAGCACTAGGAAAAATTATACCAGAAACCTGCGAATGGATTTACAAGGCGTTGAAAAAGGAATATATGAAGGTAAGTTCATAAAATTTTGGAATACAGTGCATAATATTTTAGAAAGAAATGGAATAGTTGAAGGAGATTGAAAGCCAAAATTTTTAGAAGCGTACATTTATAAAAGTACCTAGGTATTTATTTTTTAACCTAAATACCTCGCTAATATTCTTATTAAAAATTATGTATTTTATGCTTGCATTCCAAAATTTTCGCTTTTGTCGTAATTTGAAGTAATTTTTTATGTTTTAGTAAAATTTCAAAATAATATTTCAACTACGTATTTTATTGAAAAATGTATCCTTACATAAAAACTTAAAGGTGAACAACTTGTGTTATAGAAACGAATTTTAAATAAACTTTTGATTTCTATTGTCAAAAACATAGACAATAGGTAATAATGAACAAGTCGACAAGTAAAAACAAAACTTTAAGTATGTAGTCATTGAAGTTTCGTAAATTCATCGATTAAAAACCAGCAATTCAGTTAAAGATCCTTTAAGTTTCGACGTGTTGCCGCTTTCCTCCATTGTTTCAGGGGTAGTTTTATCAAGAGGTCTTATATAGTTTATATTTATGTCGAGGTTTTCTCCTTCTGCATTTGTGTACTGTGTTTCAGAAATAGTTGCTGAGGGTCGGGAAAGAGTGACATTTTGTTGCTGATTGTAAGTTGATGTGTGTTGCGAAGAAGTGAAAGTTTGTTGTTGCTGATTTGTTAATATGGGTTGGAAAGGAGAAGGAGTTAAAGGTTGTGGCTGTTGATTGTATTGAAGTTGCATTGGCAACATAGTATTATAATGAGATGAAACGCTATGTGCCGAATTTATACATATATGAGATTCCTCGCATAATTTCTTTTGAACACCAAGGAAGAGAAGACGGTGAAGTAATAATTCAGCATACATTTTCTGGTCGCTGTCCATTCGGCGCAGTTTATGGGCCACATTTTCTCCAATACTGTCACATTCATCATTTTCTCTGTCCAACTTAGCGCAAATCCTTTGGATACTTTCTTCCTGTCCATACTTCTTTCTTTTTGCACTATTAGAAGATCTGGAAGTTGATGGACGTGAATAGGTTGATGACTGATGCGGTGTTTGTGGTGGTGATAGCTGATATATTTCAGACGGTGCTTGCAACGCATCTTCAGTAAGCGGTGAAAATTGAGTATCATGCTGGGTGACATCTTCCTGAAAGTACAAAATACAAAATGTATATTATAATTTTTTTTACAGTTTCCAAAAACATCAGAGGAGTGGCAAGAAATAGCTTATAATATTGAAACCAGATGGAACTTTCCTAATTGTGGAGGATCTATTGATGGTAAACATCTGCGAATTGTTAAACCAGCCAACAGCGGGTCATATTTTTTTAACTACAAAGACTATCACAGTATAGTTCTCATGGCCCTTGTTAATGCTGATTACGAATTCATATATGTTAATGTAGGCTGTAATGGGCGAGTTTCTGATGGAGGGGTCTTAGAATATACAAAATTTTACGATAAACTTATAGAAAAAAAGCTAAATTTGCCTTCTAATGACGTAACAAAGCATAATTTAAATTTCGTTTTTGTGGCAGATGATGCGTTTGCATTACATGAAAATATTTTAAAACCTTTCCCGGGAAACAATTTAACAAAAGAAGAATCTATTTTCAATTATAGACTTAGCCGTGTGCGCCGCACGGTTGAGAACGCGTTCGGTATATTAGCTAATCGCTTTCGAGTATTCCATACTCCAATTAATATGCAACCTGACAAAATTGACAAAATTGTACTAGCAGCTTGCGCGTTGCATAATTTTTTGAGACGTTCTAAAACTTCATATATAACGAGAAATGATGTTGACACCGAAATTATTGACACAGGGGATATAATAAGGGGAGACTGGAGAGCAGAAAGACCATTAGATAATTTACAACCAGGATATGGTCGTAATGCTTCACGTGAAGCCAAAGAAAATAGAGTGAATTATAAAAATTTCTTTAATACTGTTGGAAAAGTTTCCTGGCAAGAAAATTTTATTTAATCAATGTACCTATTATAATATGTATCTTACTTGATAATTTTGTAGAATTAAAGAATTTATTTTAGACAAGAAATAAAAAGATTTTATTTGATTTTTTTATTTGCAAAAAATTTCCTTACCTCATTATTGGCATCGTCACCCTCCGACTCCGACTCATCATCATTTGAAACTGACATCCTAGGTTCTTCCTGCGAAGCCGTAAAAAGCAGTAATTTATAATACCAAAGAGTTGGCTCATACAGCTCTTCTGTAGATGATCCACTTCTTTTTGATTTTAGAACTTTTTTGTGCTCCTTTCGAAAGGCACTTCTAATATTATTAATTTTCTTTTTTACCATATCCATCGAAGCATTTTTGTCTACGGTTTTGCAATAACTTATAAGTTTCTCATACGCCTTTGCCTTTTCTTTTCGATTTGAATACTGTTTTGACTTAATATTCCATAAACTTGGTAACTGTCGATAAATATCAATAAAACCAGTAACAAACGATGGCTGATTTAACGTCACATCAGACATTTTTTACCAAAACTGTGTACACAATTTTTAAATACAATGAAAGTCGCTATCGTACGACCCGGACTGACGATTAACCACCACACACGTACACACTTTGTGCAATCTTTGTAAACTGCAGGCACAGACCTGCCGGCCACCTGTACGTGTATGCTGAAATTTGGACTGACGGCCAGATCGTTCACAGTTCGGGACTGCAGTCCGCCTGTACGTGAATGGGTACCATTAGGCTCAGCTCTCTGTTTTAGCTTTACTCAGTCCTATACTCATTCAATGTTATTCATTTGTTTTGTGCGAAAAATAATTTCACATTGAGCATGTTTCTATGCATGACTTCTAAAATACCTTAACATTAACTAGATAATTAGAATGACGAAACAGCGTTGAAATAAATTGTGTATTTTCCTTTAGGAAAAACAAATCATTCAGGCCCAGAGAGCGTGGAAAAAAAGGGCTGAAGAATCTGCAATCGGTGAAAACATTGGCTGGAAGGACCGGGATAACTGCTCAAGCCCAAGGTCAACTAGGGAAGGCTAGGAAACAACCGATGACTGTTATTGCTCAGTTTCAGCAAAGTTTGCACTCGCTTATGGATACTCTCAATCAGGCGAACCCTTTTTTTATTAGGTGAGTCACACCTAGTAGTGGATGGAGTAGAATTCTATTACGTTTCCTAATAGTTTTTGTCTGTTTTGGCAGTTATGACATAAGTTTGTAAATGCATCCGTTTTTAGCAACACTATGTTTATAGGTTTTTCGTATCAATAATGTTTCATTGCGTCTTTTGGTCGTAGAAGAGACTGTTGTACTTCTGGAAGCGACAGTTCCCCGTTCCTCATTTCGGTTTTCAAGATATCTATGAATATGAAAAAAAACCGTAATCGTTTCTGTTTCCTTATTTGAGATTATGTTGCAAAACAAATTGCACATTAATACTGCAGGCTTTCTGTTTCACCCTCCTAATTGAACTTTATATTTTCTTACTGCCACTTCCTTTCAATTTGGTCAAAGTTACACATTCATGTAAACTAAAAAGACGAAGACATGCATAATATGCGTATATCCAGATGAAAACAACTATTCATTTTTGTAATAAAAATATGTATTACAATATCAATTCGTACATTCGTGTAATACGTCCGGTATTCAATTAAAATTTTGAGCTTCTTGGGTGGAAGTGTAAAATAAATGGCTTAGGACATCGATTTCTTATATGTTCTGTTTGAATTGACGATTGATTGGTAAATACAATTCAATATTCCAGGTGTATTAAATCAAACAGCAACAAAATACCAAATACCTTTGACGAGACCACAGTTCAGAGACAGTTGCGATATACAGGAATGCTTGAGACTGTTAGAATTAGGCAAGCTGGCTTTAATGTAAGGCTCACATACGAAGAGTTCATACAATTGTACAGAATTCTTCTACCAAAAGGTAATTTTATTGATAGACATACTTAATATATACAGTGGTAATTATATATTTTGAAACTTTTATAAGCGCCTAGTTGTAATCCGTTATAGACCTAATTTTCATTGCTGGTTTTTGCAGTAGGTGCAGTTGGTTAAAATATATGTGGAACAGCACTACTTCCAAATGTACATTTGTTTAAAAATACCGTATACTCTAGCTATACTATGATAAATAGTTTGGTTTGTTGTTTGAAAAATGGGGTTTGGCATTATAATGAAACCGTTTTCCATAAAAAAATGTATAAAGTATCTAGCTCCATCAAAGAACGGCATTGCATTTTTCAATTAGAAGAACATTGATAAAACGTTATTTATTTATTAATAGTGATTATATTTTTATCTTTAAGTTTAGTTTTTTTATACATATATGGTATCAGTTTTACAAATCTCATGATATTTTACCAATTAGTCTAAGCATTTTAGCAAATTTCCCCGAAATAATTGTAAAGTCTGGTTTTATTGGTGCAAGTTGTTCAATGGGGTATTTAAAACAT